GAGGAGGCAGTCATATCTCCTGAACCCCTCTCTAACGAAGACGCAGCCAGCGAAGTCGACGTGAACAACATAGACCTGACCATGCCACCAATCTCTGACGACGATGTTGACAACGACGATGCCGTCGGGCACATCCACACACCACCGCCAAGAATTGCCGCGCGTTTCTACCGCCCAACCCAGACCCGTCGCAAAGACTCGGCGGCATCCTCACGGCGGAACTCCATATCCTCCGCCCATTCGCGATGTTCGTCCGCCCACAACTACACCCGCCGCAACAGCGACGGCCACCAAAGCAAATTGATTGCCCAACATCTGCGGCGCACGTCGTTCCTCGAAGACCGCAAAGCCCGGCTCGCGGATCGTGCAGCCCACGCTGAGAAGGTGCGCATTCGAGCGGCCCTGGCGAAGGCAACGCCGCGAGGCACGTCCTCATCAGAAGAACGCGCTCTTGCCGCTCAACAAGCGCGAGAGAAGAAGCTTGCCGAAATCGTCGCCTCGTGCGCCGAGGATGTCAAGAAGGCGAGGGCAGTCGCTGAGAGCATGAAAGAGAAGCGAGAGACCGAGCTGGCTCGTGTCAAGGCACGGATGGAAGAGCGCATGGCCGAAGCCGATCGCCGGCGAGAGGAGCTGAAGAATCGCTCGGCCAGCAAACGCTTCCGAGGTCAGAGCTTGACGAACAAGAAGACCTCTCTAGACGTGCTGCCCGAAGACAACGATGATAAGGATAGTGGCGAGTTCCCGCCCTCTTCGCCGCCATCATCGGCGAAGCGCGTCAAAGCAAAGCAAAGTCCTTTGTATACCGAAGACGAGGCAGCAGGAAAGCTTCAATGGTGGTGGCGGGCAGTGCAAAGGAAACGTGCAGTCGGCGAGTTTGCCGAGTTAGGCCTTACGGTTGACGGTATCCGCGACAGCACTTTCGACAGCGTCGTCGATCTGCTCGGCCAAGAAAGAGTTCTTCTGCGGACAGCTCGCATTCTGCGCATCTGTGGTTTGCAGGAGGGTCAACCTGGCTCTGTTGGCGAGATGGCAGCGGTCCGCACGTTCCTCAGCGCCTTCATCATCTTGGGCCATCCGGCCCAGGTCCTGAGCAACAAGGATGGCACAGCACAGCAGGAGCAGGTTGGAGCGCAGTTGCCCCAACCTATGCCTCACGATGATCTTGCTAACCCGCAGTTACAGGATCTCGTATCGAAAGCAAGGGATTTACTCATCTGCTTTGAAAATGTTTTTTCTCGCCTCAATGCGAGTAACAGTTATACGGCCCCAGCTAAGCTGCGTCAGGGCGTCTCTGAAGACTACGCCACGTTCCACAATGCCTTCATTGCGTGGAAGTCGCGTGACTCGGACTCGCTCGTGCAGGTCATGTTACTCCAGTTCGTTGAGCTGGACATGATTTGGCAGACGGTCAAAGATAGTACCGACGATGCCTCCGCGGAGCCGTATCGTGAGAGCATCAAAGACAATCAAGTCAAACTGATTGTGCGGATTAAGAAGCTAGCTGGCCAGGAAAGGGGCAAGAAGATGATCGCCGATGCCGTGCGCCAGGCACGCAAGGCTCGCGCCGTCAACAAACCCACTGCCGACATGAAGCCACGCGTCTCGGACAGCGCCGAGGGCTCTGCTACCGCCGCGAGTCTCGTCTCTTCGGGAGATCAGACGGTAACTCCGCCAGCAACACCGCTGAAAGCCTCCACGAAACCCCAACCTCCACTGCCCATCGTGTTGCCGCCTGGTCTGAACGGACTTCTGCCGCAGAACCGAGTTGTTGTACACGAACTGGCTATCAACCGAGAGTACCGGATTCCCGCCGATGAATATTGCGAGCATAGGGCGACCTTCCAGCAGCCACTTTTTGAGGGCATGAGGGCTGAGCTTCACTCCAACGAGTCGGAGGCTGGCTTCATGTACTTTGCGACAATGATGCGATACTTCAAAGACTCACTCCAACGACTGGTACGGCCAGGAGCATTCATGCACAAGACAATCGGCGAGGTCCTTGACGTTGAGCTCGCAGAACAGCAGTTTCAGATGGGAAGCTTTTCTTATGAGAAATTCTTCACAGCGGTTTCTTCTCTGTTGCCCAAGCTCTGCGCACCCTATCGTGACGATGAGTGCAAGGATCTTGTGACAAACAAACTCCATCAGGGCACCTTGGTAGATCGAGTAGAGGCGCTGACAGGCTTCATCGACGTAATGTTGTGCGACTACGTCAATTTTATGTTATCGACGGCAGCCCCGCAGCTCATTGAGTCTGGACCGCAGTACGAAGCCAAGAAGTTTGACGAAGCCCTGGAAAAGGGGCATCACAAGCTGACGGCAGCTGTTGAAGCGTGGCGTTCGGCACGCCTCAAGGTGCTTGCGGAAGCGAGCAAACGCGACCCTGAAGGCATAAACCACGCCAAGAACAGGCCAACGGCCGACAAATTTTACGCGCAGATGATGGTCGATCTCTTCACGCAAGCGCTGCCCATTCGAGAGGAGACGGTGCCGGAAATGCTCCTCTTGGACTACAAGAGGATGCAGAGACTATCACTGGCGTCACAGAGGATTGTCACTGCAGCAGCGATTCTTCTTCAATGCAAGAACATACTCAAACGCGACGTGCGGTCGCCGTGGAAAGCGGAGGCGGCTCGGATCATGCTGGTGCTCGAAGCGAAGCATGACAAGATGGAGACGACGGTGCACGGCGTCATGGTGGCACTCGAAGCAGGACGGACGATGCCAGCGGCGACCAAGACACACCTACGGGCGCTTGTTACCAAGGTCGTCCAGGCAAGCCAGGACTCGATCTTGAACGGGGCCGAACCGCAGGAACCAGTGTTGCGGCTCCTGCTGACGCGACTTCGTGGCCACATGTTTGCCAGGCTTGGCGCAGGGTCAGCCAGCGAGAAGGTCAAGGCAGCAAGCACAGCTGGTGAGCGTTTGGCGGGGCTCGGGCTCGCCGAGTTCGCGACGCAAGTCCGAGAGATCGTGGACGAGCTGGCACGGGTCGGAGCCGTGGACCGCGCAGCACATACGAAGTGGTGGGAGGCGGTTTCGGAGAAGGTGCAGCAAGAGGAGGCGGCGACCAGCACAACAGTGGCATGATTTATAGGCATGAGCCTCATGGAAGCGTGACGTCTATAGCGAGAATCAGGTGTTTTTTCCTTCGGCAAGCGGAATCGGTCTGTGTTGCGGTACGGCAGGACTTGTTGCGGAATCGGTTTCCATGGGCTGGGGCGTTTGGGCAGGGTTTCAAGGTTTCGGTTTTCCCCCGTTGTAACGAATATGGACATGCATGGGGCAAGGGAAGAGAGCAAACGATCATGGCTTCGTACGCGGGACAATCTATGGGAGACTGACAGTAGGAGGATGAGGAGGAGTTCAATGAGTCGAATCATGGACATGCTTTGGAGGTCAGGACGTCGGGTAAGGCATGCTACGATATGGTGGATTGACCAGGTGCGCGTCACTTTGACAGCAGCGTTATTTTGCATTTGAATGAACAAGCCAGCGTTCTCCTGACGAGGTGTTCGCATGAGAGTTGGCAGCGATACGACTCGTCCCACTTGTGATGACAGTGAGTACCTATGTACCTCCTTAAGGTGCCTAGGTAGCCTATACCTAAGGTTCGTTCTCCCAGTGTTGTCAGAACTCCGTGTGAAGTATGCGAACGTCGGGTCCACACTGTCTCAGGGTCAGCTCGACCTGAGCCCATTTCGCACGCTTGGCATCTCTTCATCAATCGAACGACACCACCTCAAGATCGACTACAAACAAGGCGACTTTGGCACTGGATGAGCGTCACCATCAATTTACACTCATCATTCCTCGGTTGAAGAACAGCAGCCCGGCAACGTCTCATTTCTGCCAATGGCCCACGTCGGCCTTCTCAGCTCGAGGCTGGGAGCGGCTGTGTGGCTGTCAGGGGCGAGGCTCTCGTGCGTCTCTGCATCGGCATCCGCGTCTGCCATCACATCTTTGTGTGGAGCCGTCACGCACCCGCGCTTTTCCCAGCAGTTTTCGTCGCCCGTCACTACTTGGGCGCCCGCGACACCGCGCTCGGCTCCGACCGGCTCGACATCGCCATTACACAATGAGCTGGCGGTGGCGGCACGGCGGCACGGCGAGCAACTGAGGTACGTCCATGAACCCGGGGCAGACTCGAATCCAGACCCCCAGAGAGACAAAGGTACCCCTGGGATGCCATCGTGGCAGGCAGCACCTTGAGGGAGCTAAGGTAGCTCTTTGGTGCTCCCATGTCCACAGCTCGGCACATTGTGGACCCCCGGTGGTCCACTGACATTGGCATGGCGGAGGCTCTGCTCTCTCTGAAGCCATTGCTAAGCGCAGGGCACTTCGGGTACGGTGCCTACCTTACCTAAGGTACCTTACCTAGGGAGGTCGGTAGGCCATGGGGCTCTCAGCCGCCTGTGACGCTCCCCCTACCTCCCCAGAGGTAGGCTGTCGACCGACCGACCCTAAGCAGCCTGATGCGCCCGCACTGGATTCCCGCCATTGGGTACCTTCCTACCCCATCCATTCATCGTATTCATCTGAGGGCATCCCCTGCCCGCCCCCCTCTTGCGTGCCGAGTGGCCCGGTGGGAGAGCTCTCTGCCTTTAGTACCTTACCCTAGGTAGGTACCTAGGTGTGCGGTGTGGGTCTCGGTCTCGATCGCCATCTGCCCCTCCTTCAATGCCCCTCCTTCAATGCCCCTCCTTTTGGCTGGCTTATTATGCTTCTGCCTTTGGTTCTTGAGCTTTAGCTGGAAGAGATCTTGGAAATCCTCCTTTCCCCAACCTCACTACATCCCACCTTGCTTATATCTGCGATCGTGCTCTCAGATTATTGCATTGTCCACGCCTACTTTTCGCCTCCGTTGTCTCGAGCTACCGTTCGGGATTCGTCTTGCTGATCCCTGGTCACGTCACTCTAGACCTTCCACCTCGCCTCGTCGACACTGCTCTTCCGTCACCACATCGGAATTGGCATTCCACGCCAGTTCTTTCGGCAACATGGCGGACCGCGATGTCCTTCCCGATGCCATCAGGCCCTCGCACTATGTCGTCTCCCTGCGGGAGCTTGACTTTAAGAACTGGACCTACCAGGGAACCGTCAGGCAAGTTGCCAACCACCGTCCCCAATCGCCCTCGCCATGATGACGCCTGACGCTAACCTCCGTGCAGCATTGACGTAGAGGTTGTCAAGCCCACCAAGGAGGTCGTCATCAATGCCCTCGAGCTCAAGCTGTCCAAGGCTTCCGTTACCGTCACGCAGAATAAGTCCACCGAATCGTACGAATCCGCCTCCATCTCCCTCGATGAGAAGAAGCAGCGCGCTGTCATCGCCTTTGACCAGGAGATTCCTGCCTCTCAGAAGGCTTCTGTCCTCATCCACTTCGAGGGTATCCTGAACAACGACATGGCCGGCTTCTACCGCAGCAAATACACCCCCGCCGTCACACCCGCTGCCTCGGTCCCCCGCGACGACGAGTGGCACTATATGCTGAGCACCCAGTTCGAGCCCTGCGATGCGCGTCGCGCCTTCCCCTGCTTCGACGAGCCCAACCTCAAGGCCACCTTTGACGTCGAGCTCGAGATCCCCGACGACCAGGTCGCTCTCAGCAACATGCCCGTCAAGGACACCAAGAAGACGCGCGATGGCTTCCACCTGGTCTCCTTTGAGACCAGCCCCAAGATGAGCACATACCTTCTCGCCTGGGCCATCGGCGACTTTGAGTACGTCGAGGCCTTTACCGAGCGCCGCTATAATGGGAAACAGCTGCCTGTCCGTGTCTATACCACGCGCGGTCTCAAGGAGCAGGGCCGCTGGGCTCTGTGGCATGCGCCTAGGATCATCGATTACTTCTCTGACATTTTCGGCATCGAGTACCCTCTGCCCAAGGCCGACCTGCTCGCCGTCCACGAGTTCTCGGCCGGCGCGATGGAGAACTGGGGTCTGGTCACCTACCGTACGACGGCCGTCCTCTACGACGAGAAGACGTCCGAGCCGCGCTACGCCAACCGCGTGGCCTATGTCGTAGCACACGAGCTCGCCCACCAGTGGTTTGGCAACCTTGTCACCATGGACTGGTGGGACGAGCTGTGGCTGAACGAGGGCTTTGCTACCTGGGTTGGCTGGCTCGCAACTGATCACCTGCATCCCGAGTGGCAGGTTTGGCCGCAGTTCATCAATGAGGGTATGGAGATGGCGTTCAAGCTGGACAGTATCCGTGCCAGCCACGCCATCCACGTTCCCGTCAAGGACGCCCTCGATGTCAACCAGATCTTCGACCACATCAGCTACCTGAAGGGTTGCTCCGCCATCCGCATGCTCGCAAACCACCTGGGCGTCGAGACCTTCCTCAAGGGCGTGTCCAACTACTTGAAGAAGCACCAGTACGGCAACGCCAAGACGGAAGCGCTCTGGAGCGCTCTCAGCGAGGCCTCTGGCAAGGACGTCAACAAGCTGATGGGCCCTTGGATTTCCAAGATCGGTCACCCCGTGCTGACCGTCGCCGAGCAGCCCAACCAGATTTCGATCAAGCAGTCGCGCTTCCTCTCTACCGGCGATGTCAAGCCTCAAGATGACGAGACAACTTGGTGGATCCCCCTCGAGCTTGAGGGCAAGAAGGGTGTCAAGGGAATTACCTCGATTGCGCTGGAGAAGAAGGAAGACATCATCACTGACATTGATTCCGAGTTCTACAAGCTCAACTCTGGCGCCTCGGGCTTCTACCGCGTCAACTACCCGCCCGAGCGCCTGCTCCAGCTGGGCAAGCAGCTCGACCGCCTGTCCATCGAGGACAAGATTGCCATCATTGGATCCGCCGGTGATCTCGCCTTCTCGGGCAACGGCACCACTGCTGCGCTCCTCTCGTTCATCCAAGGCTTCAGCAAGGAGGACAACTACCTAGTCTGGAGCCAGGTGCTTGACTCCATCGCATCGGTCAAGTCCGTTTTCGGCGAAGACGAGGTCATCAAGAAGGGCCTCCAGGCCTTCACCCTCAAGCTGATCGACGAAGCCGTTGGTAAGGTCGGCTGGGACTATCCCGAGGGCGAGAGCTACCTTACTGGTCTGCTGCGCAAGCGTCTTATCCTCACCGCCGGTGTCAACGGCCACGCTGGGTACGTGCCCCTATTCTTTCGAGTGATGCTTCCTTGCTAACGAGTGACAGCGTCACCGAGGAGGCTCTCAAGCGTTGGAAGGCCTATGTCGAGTCGCCCGAGTCGAACCCTCTCCCCCCGGCTCTGCGCACGCCCGTGTTCCGCGTGGCCGTCAAGCACGACCCCGTCAAGGCGGTCGAGGTGCTCAAGAAGGAGTGGTTCACGACAAAGTCGATCGACGGCAAGGAGGTCTGCCTCAGCGCCATCAGCGCGGCCCGCGACACGGAGCTCGTCAAGAACACGATCCTCCCCTTCCTCTTTAATCGGTCCCCGCCCGCGCCGGCCTCCGAGTCGGTGCCCTCGTCCGACATGCACGTCCTGGCCTCGGGTCTCGGCGCCAACGCGTCCGCCCGCGAGGCCCAGTGGCAGTACCTCCAGGCCCACTGGGACGACTGCGTCGTCAAGGCCGGCAACAACGTCGTCGTCGACCGCCTCGTCTCCACGAGCCTGTCCAAGTTTGCCGACGCCGACAAGATCAAGGAGATTGACGCCTTCTTCGCCGGCAAGGACACGGCCGGCTTCAACCGCACCCTCGAGACGGCCAAGGATAAGATCCGCGGCCGCGCCGCCTACCGCCAGCGCGACGCCGCCGCTCTCAAGGCGTGGCTCGCCACCAACGGCTACGCTGCGTAGGCGCGGCGTCGCTGGGTCTGGCTGTAGTGGATATGGCATAGCCGCACTGCGCAGGATACCAATGCACGTCCACGAAATGTCTTCTCTTCTCCTCGCCCTGCTCTTCTCCCGTGACGTGTGCGTTCTGTGTGCAATGTGTCTTAACGCCTTGGAGGCTCGTCCCATGCTTCATTCTGCAGAGCTTTGGCATTCAGGCATACTACCCTAACGTTCCTTCTCCCACGAAAAAGCGTCTCATCTTCACAGGGAACACATATCAGCTAGGCGGCATATTCGTGTTGGTACACGAAGCGCATCACGAGTCACAAGTACGCCGGACGTTTCTTGATCCCCATATTTTGGGGTCCTTCAAATTATGCATCATGTCCATGTGAATTATATACCACCCGCCGCTCGCCCATCAGGGCCGTGGCCGCCCACCATGTTCCGGCGTTGCAAAGTTATAGTGGATCATCCGTCCGAACAAGGGCACGATGGCGCAGGCGCAGAAAATGAAAATGGCGGCGCGGTACTCGACCATGAGCACGGCCTTGACACCTGTCAGCAGCGCCTCGAGGCTCTCTGCCATCTTCTCCTGGCCGAACTCGGCGCGGACGCGCTCGGCGCCGGCGGCACCCATGCGCTTCATGTCGGCGTCGGCGCCGGGCACGAGGACGGACTGCATCACTGTTGTCCAGGCCTGGACGTCTTCGGGGTCGCGGAGCCAGCCTGTCTGGCCATCGACGACTGTCTCCACAGGCCCGCCCGTATTCGCGGCGAGGACGGGCACGCAGGCGCGCATGGCCTCGAGGGGCACGATGCCAAAGTGCTCGTTGGCAGGGGTGTAGACGAGCAGACGAGCGGAGCGAAGGAGCGAGTCTTTGAACGCCGAGGGCACAGATAAGAGGAAGAGCACTGGGATCTGGGGAGAGACGGCAAGGGCCGAGATGACGTTCTTGGCCGTAACCGACTCCAGGCCGAGAGACTTGGCGAGGGCGACGAGCTCGCGGTGGTATTCGTAGTTCTCCGCAGAGCGAAGGTCGTAGCCGCCTGCGATGACGAGGCGGACGTTCTTGCGGGCTGAGGGAGAAAGGCCTGCGAAGGCGCGGATGGCGAGGGCGACGTCCTTTTTGCGCTCGAAGCGATTGATGCTCAGGATGATATTCTCGTCGGACCAGACGGCGTCGTCGGCGGCTACCTCGGTCATCTTCTCAGAGGTTTTCGTCTCGGGAGAGGCGTCGGCGGGCTTCGGGGGCGTAGGTTCAAGCTCGATACAAGGGTAGAGGACCTTGAAGTCCTTGCGCTTGGCCAGGCTGGGCCAGGTGTCGGCGGCAACCTTCTTGGTGAAGGATGAGTTGACGGCGATGACGGCGGCGAAGCCCATGGACCACTGTTCGAGGAGGTCAAAGGGCACGCGGTAGGCGCGCTTGAGGAAGTTGTCGCGGCCGCGGGCGAGCAGCAGGTCGGGGAAGTGGCAGTAGAAGAAGATGGGGGTGTCGGGATAGAGCCACTGCAGGAGCGGCAAGCCAGCGCTCAGCTGGTCGGCGAAGAAGTTTGTGGGCCGCAGGCGACCGAGCTCACCGGTGAGATAGACCTGCCAGATGAGGTGGAGCTGGCGCAGGACGGCGCAGAGGATGGTGAGGCGGTCGAAGATGTGCGGCGGAACAGGCCAGCTACCACGGACGCGGACGTCAAGAGTGCCATTGCGGGCCTCTTCAAAGCAGTGCTTGGGGTCGCAGTGACTCGTGAAGATGGTCACCTTGTGGCCGCGGTTTTGAAGGCCAATGGCAGCGTCAACGACTAGGCGCTCGGCACCGCCGATGCCCAGGTCAGGGTGGAAGAAGACGACCGACTTCTTCTTGGGAGGTGGCCGCACAGACATTGTGCGTGGCTGCTGTGATGTCGTCGTCTGTATGCTTCGACCTCTGTGCTCGTTGGATGTTGGGTGAAACTTGGCTCTCGGGTAGGAACTTGTTGGTTGATCAAGAGAGGCCACGACACAGGAAGTCAATGCCTGGTGCTTCTTTTTGAGAAGACGACGGCAAAAGATCAGGCAAAAGAGCAAAAGATGGGTAAATGCAGAAGTGGCAGGTCCGGCAGAATAGATACATGTAGCAAGAGCTTCCCCCACTGGCGGGGCAGCTGCAATGGGGCAGGCCAAGCATGTGCTCCTGCCTCCTTGTCCTTGGCCGCTCCCCCTTGGCTCCTTCCCGGCCCGTCGACCCCGACTTGGCGGTACAACGGATAACTGCTTCAATTCTCAGGGTCCCCTACCTGGTACCTTAGGTAGCCCACCATCAATTGATGATTGATGCAGGTCGCAAGGCACACGTTCTTCAGGGTCCTCTCCTCCCTACCGTCGTGTTCTACCGTCTGGGGTCTGGTCTGGTCTCATTTCCCCGGCTCGTGGCCCCCATCTTGACGACTTTGTCTTTCCTCTCTCTTCACCCACCGCACCATGCGCTGCGAGCTTTGATCGCAATCGTCCTAACGCCGCCCAGGCGCGGCACCTACGCTCTTTTTCGCTGCCACCTGTCGTCTGTCGTCCGACACAAAACAATTTGGCGACTGTCATTCATTTATCAATGCGCCTCCTTGCCCGGCGAGCCGCCGCTCTGGCCATCCTTTCGGCCCCCCTCTCAACGACCGCCGATGATTCCGACAGCGAACAGACAATCTGGGCTACCCCTCACGAGCAATATTCGTCCTCTGTCGGTGTCTTAGGCTGCAAGATTGACACCAACCGTGTCGCCTACTGGCCTGCCGCCATCAGCTGTAATGACATCTGCGTCGAGGTCCAGCATGAAGGTCGCAAAGTCAAGCTGCTGCGCATCGACCGCTCTGAAGGCGCTTACGATATGAGCTACGACGCCTGGAACTACCTGTACACTGGCAAGTCGGCACGCGATGAGCCTGCCGTGGGGGGACCTGTCGAGATGCAATACCGCAACCTCAGCGCCTCGGACTGCGACGACCTCATTCATACCAAAGGCAGCCGTCTGCCGCTGAGTGCCCCCAACAGCATGAACTTTCTTGCGAGCTGTCTCGACGCGCCAGGCGACAACTGGGTCAAGGACAACCACATTCTATACAACGTCCTAGACCCTCTTTGTACCGTCGGTCGCGACGAGGAGTGCGAGCTGGACTGGCCCGCCGCCAACCAGGCCGTGTGTCCCCACACCATGGGCGAGCCAGTCCCGCTCAAGGACAAATCTGTGGTCAATGTGCAGTACGGGACAGGAGACTCTGTTGTCGGCGCGACTGGTGAGAAAGTGGATGATCCCTCCAGCGCATCGACTCTGATACCCAGATCATACGTTCTCCTGTCGGGGGCTTTGTTGGGCGTGACACATCTATTTTGCTATACCCCTTTCTGATTTTACGTTTTTAGGACATCGCACAACCACTTTTACTGAGCAGCCCATCTGTCGTGACATCAAATCATCCCATATTGTGACTCAACAATCTGAACATGACCATGTACGGCCCCATCCCGGACTTGCCGATCCCGCCGATGTCAATTCCGGGGCCGTGGAGCCGCCAAGGTCGCACCGGAGTGGGCACGCCAAAAACCGGGAACACAGTGAAGACTTTTTGGCATATCTGACCGCAACTTGACATGGCTGTCCTGTGACATATATAAACTATTTCCTCGCCCCTCAAACTCATTGAGCGCTGACAACACAGCGGACTGCAATCAACAGACAGGTCAGTCCCAAGTACCTTGCGGCAAAGGAAGAGAGGCCGCCCCACCACAGGCGCCAAACCCTCACACACATTCAGACCCATGGGGGACGCCGCATCATGGATTTCGAAAAGCAAAGCTACTGGCGCGATCGCTTCGCCCGCGAGGAATCATTCGAGTGGCTTGTCACCTCCTCAGACCTCATGGCCATCCTCGACCCGCTCCTCGCCAGCCTGTCCCTCGGCCCCGACGCCCGCATCTGCCACCTCGGCTTCGGCACCAGCGACCTGCAGAACCACTTTCGCGCCCGGGGCTTCTCCGCCATCACAAACCTCGACTACGAGCCCCTCGCCTGCGAGCGCGGCCGCGCCCTCGAGGTGACCCGCTTCGGCGACTCGAGGATGGAGTTTCGCGTTGCGGACGTCACGCAGTTGCCAGCCGACCTGGGCGCGTTCGACCTCATCATCGACAAGAGCACCGTCGACGCCGTGGCATGTGGGGGCGACGACATGGTGCTGAGAATGGGGAAGGGGGTCGAGAGGTGTCTGAAGCCCGGGGCCGTGTGGGTTTCGCTGAGTTACTCGTCGGCCCGGTTCTCGGACGAGCGTCTTCCGTTTGATGTTGAGGTTCTGCACAAGTTTCCCGTGCCCAAGATGAGCCCAACAGAGCCGGATGTGTTTCACTGGTGTTATCTGCTGAGGCGGCGGGCGCCGGGTGTGAGGCTGGGAAGGGCGGAACTGGAGGGGACGGATCGGGTCTCTGGGGAGACGTGCGGGAGTGGGTTTCAGTATGAGAGGGAAAGCCAAACCACAATGGAAAGGGCGACTGTTTCTTGACGTGCAAGTAAGGAAATTTCTAGATGATTCGAGCCGTCAGGAAACGCACTGCATCTGGACGGTTGATCGGACGAATTTGCAGTTATCGACGGGTTTTTATGATTCTTTCCCGCCCGCTACCGACCTTGGAAGATTTTTCAATACCGCAAAACATTATTTTCCTCCATGGCTAGTCAACCGCGAATTAACTCTAAAATCATATCTATAATCCCTGGAAGTTTCATTCTGAATCACAGCATATTCTGATTCACTGGACACCGCTCTTAGTGAACAAGGCATGCTCATATTCTGCGAGGGAGGGGCCGCCGGCTGCCCTTAGTCATCACATCGCTGCCCCTCACTACAATCCACCACAGTCACCACGCAATTGCGTGGCCAGTCTTCAACACCCATCACAAGAAAGCATCATCACATAGCTGCAATGTCACAAAAAACGCAAGAGCCCGTCATCACCAAGGTCTCTGACCTCGCCACGGCTGACGCCCGCTGGGTGACGTTGAAAAAGCTCGACTACGTCGATCAGGTCGGCAAGTCGCGCTCCTGGGAGGTCGCCACGCGCAAGACGACGAGCAAGGCAGGCATCGATGCCGTCGCCATGGGCAACATCCTCCTTCACCCGTCCAAGCCGGCCTCTACCATGCTCGTCATTCAGTACCGGCCGCCCCTCGACTCTTACACCGTCGAATGGCCGGCTGGCCTCGTCGACGCCGACGAGACGGCCGAGCAGGCCGCCGTCCGTGAGTTCAAGGAGGAGACGGGCTACGAGTGCAAGGTCCTCAGCGTCAGTCCGCCGCAGGCGGCCGATCCCGGTATGACCAACGCCAACATGCAGATGGTCATGGTTGAGGTCCAGCTCAAGGACGGTGAGCCGGAGCCGGAGCAGCGCCTGGACGACGGCGAGCACATTCAGCGGGTGGTCGTACCTCTGGCGGAGCTCTACGACAGACTGGTCGAATACTCCAAGCAGGACCGTATGATTGTCGCGGCCAAGCTGTTTCACTTCGCCGCTGGCATGAACTTTATGAAGACGCAGAAGTACTTTTGAGAGAGGGCAAGGAGAAACGGACACGCTTCGAATCTAGACGTCTCAAAGCAGCTGGGTGACATGAAGTATCTGTGACCATCACTCGAAGACTCGGCATCTTTGTCCGTTGTCAGGCAGTCTGCTATCACCGTGGAATTGCCCAACATTCGGGTTCATGGTGGCCCGTGGTTTCCAAAACTTGTAAAGCAATTTGGACAGACCCTATAACTTAAATCGGCACCTTGACCAAGGCTCCGGAACATGCAGCAAACTCCGCACGAAGGTGGCAATCAATCATAATCACCCGGTTGCGATATGGAGATGGGTTGGAAAATGGAACCGCTTGCAGATATGTGACCAACCACATGCGATTTCAAGTATCGAATCTGCGTAAAAGGGCAGTTCGGAAATATGAGAATAGTCCGTACATCCAGCCTTGTGTCTATTTCTGCCTTGTCGAATGCGGCGTGGCAAACTTTCCAGGGTGAGCCTGTTACATGTATAGAGAGTGAGTGGTGAAAAATCGTAGAGGAAGCCATTTGCATGATTTAGTGAAGATATCAAGCATGAAACAAAGATCGATGTATCGCAACCTCAAACTGCGTCACTTTCTGTGTCAGGCCGTTTGCCATGTAGTCAAGTTAGCTATGTTCATTCGGTTGATTACTATCTCGGCAGGACCTAGGATAGCAAAGAGAGAAGAAAGTTATCAGATGTATACTATGAAGTAGAATAGAGCAAGCTCTAAGCGAATCGAAGCCTCTGGGAGGGGCGTATCGCAGTCAGCCCCAATGAGTCACCTCACGCCGTGTTACCCTAGGCACACGAGAGATCAATACCAACTCCAACCAGAGCTCCGACAACCGGGGGGAAAACAAATCCAGCAAGGTCCTTCACAATACCGGTAGCCACGTGACAGCCGCCCAGCTCCTCAGCAGCCTGGGAGGAAAAGGCAATCCTAAGGCGATTTCCGCTAAGTTCGCCGTGCTTTTCAACCGAGACATTGAGAATAGCGGGAACATGATGCCCGTGGTGGAGGTCGTCACACCTGATGGCTTCATTACCGTCCTCCGCGCAGCCGCAACCGCCGTCGCAGCCTCTCTGACTGCAGACAGAACCGATAGTGTTTCTGCAGCAGTTCCTCCATACGTTATACTCTTTCTTGGCAGAAAAGTCTTGGATTGTTTTCCAAGCAGCTTCAACCATGGCGTCCCGAATCTCGTGATGTCTGCCATTGACATCGTCCCAGGCACCCTCGATCGTAATGGTGATCTGACGGGTGTGACTTTTGTCTATGTTGCAAGGTTTGACTTGGACCACAACGTTTTCGGTGTGTGAAGTAATGGCGTGCTGGTTTCCTGCGGCTGCGTAGATGGCCTGCCAGGTCTCTTTGAAGAGGTCCAGATCTCCAACATCAACCATGGTATCCGTTGTGCTAACATGGACAACAGGATTGCCAAAAACCTTCTGGGCGAAGGCCAGGACGAGGAGAGCAGCGGCGAACTTCATATTCTACAGAAATGGTTAATGTTCAAGACCATTACGCAACAAGTAAATACTTACGTGTTTGAAGGCTAGGCCAGTTGTGTTGAAGATTGTGCGGGAGATTTGTATTCTATGAACGATGTACTGAGCTGAGTTGTGTCTAATGAGAAACATCTGTCTTGGAAGAGGGCATCCTTTGATCTTTTATAGATGAACGGCGTCGGACTTAGCTTCAGAATTCCAAGACACAGCAGGCATCTAGATGCGGTTCATCATCTTCCCAGTACGTGCTCGCGGCTTGCATGTATGAAAAGCTGCACTAAGCCCAAAGAACATGTAACCACCTGAATATCCAAACTTTGTTTGAGAGGTTTAAAATGACAGTTGAGGTTATAGTCAACGAAACCAGTGGCGACGAGGGTCATCGCTGGCGGGTCCAAGGCTAGATAGACAACTCATCAGGGGTTCTTCAGTTGAGCAGAGCATCGGATGCTTCGCTTGACCGCCTCACGCCTTATGTCCGTAATCAACCAGTTCAGCGACCGCCGGGACCGCAATGACCAACAAGGTATTCCACCGTCTCACATAATCAATATCCTTGACACAGCACTATTGGTCTTTGTCGACATATGTCGGTACATTCTGTCGGCTTCGCCACGGCATTAGTACGTGAACCTGAAGAGACGCCAATTCTGTCGACTGTTTAGAAACTGTAAAACATGATTTCTAGTAGCCATGACAGCCGAGTTTCTTGTTACGACTCGGCACGGCGAATGCGTATCTTGAAAACCCATCACTCGCCGACGTGACTAGAAAGGGTGAAGGAAGCAGGGTCACGGTTTCTTAGATGAGTAAAACAATTTTTGACAAGCATGCGGCACATCTGTAGCCATTTTGAGGCAAGATACAGCGTTCACGGATGAAGGATGACAATCAACACAATGCCAGAAGCGTCATGTGCTTGATTCAAGCGAACAGGGCACCAGGGGCACAGCCAACAAGGCTCTTGGGTTCCATGAATGACATGTCATTCTTCGGACGACCGTGCTCCTACGCAATCTGTAGAAGGTCCACTCCGCGGCGAGACAAGATACTCTATTATATCAGGAGAACCTTTACTTTCACTTCGAGGCGTGACTTTGTCTACTCTCGTCAAGGGCCTCTGTCTATCTGACAAGAAATAAGTTGAAAATTGATAGGATGGCATACATTGTTCAGGCCCCCAAGAATCAGTGATACTTATCAGTCACCAATCATGTAGGGGCATCTCTTATCCGCTGGCGCAGGATATTTGAATAAGGTTGTATAGCGTCAACTTTCGAGAAAGAGTGGGCACGGGGCTTGATATATCCCGACCGACTCGTAGCATGACTCGAAATCTCTCGC